GTTTTTTCTTCTATGCTTTACTATGAAGGAGGCTCTGTCTCCTTCATCAGTCTTTTGCTAATGTTCTGCTTTATTCCTGAATGTCCCATTCCATATTTCATTCAGTAAGCAACTAGTGAGTGTCTATTTATGTCAGAGCCTGAGCTAGGCATTAAGGATTTTGAAATTAGTAAGAAAAGATTCCTGCTCCTAACAAAATAATAGAAGGCTGGGTGTGGTGGCTCACGCCTGTAATCCTGGCACTTTGGGAGGCTGAGGCAGGCGGATCATGAGGTCAGAAGATCAAGGTCATCCTGGCTAACACGGCGAAACCCTATCTCTACTAAAAGTACAAAACATTAGACGGGCATGGTGGCACGCGCCTGTAGTCCCAGCTACTTCGGAGGCTGAGGCAGGAGAATCACTTGAACCTGGGAGGCAGAGGTTGCAGTGAGCCGAGATCTTGCCACTGCACTCCAGCCTAGGCAACAGAGTGAGACTCCATCTCGGAAAATAAATAAATAAATAAAAGAAATAATAGAAGAGCCATATTCATAACCTAAGGAAGATGGTGTTTGTGAAAGCATTTTATAAACCACATTAAAGGACATTTCATACATTGTTAGACACAATTATTTCTCTTTGTCAGTTTTAATTATTACTTTTTTTTTTTTGAGATGGAGTTTCACTCTTGTTGCCCAGGCTGGAGTGCAATGGTGCAATCTTGGCTCGCTGCAACCTCTGCCTCCTGGGTTCAAGTGATTCTCCTGCCTCAGCCTCCCTAGTAGCTCAGATTACAAGCATGCGCTACCATGCCCAGCTGATTTTGTATTTTTAGTAGAGAAGGGGTTTCTCCACGTTGTGCAGGCTGGTCTCAAACTCCTGGCCTCAGGTGATCCACTTGACTCAGCCTCCCACAGTGCTGGGATTACAGCTGTGAGCCACCATCATGACTGGCCTTTTTTTTTTTTTTTTTTTGAGACAGAGTCTCGCTCTGTTACCCAGGCTGTGCCCAGCTAATTTTTTAATTTTTAGTAGAGATGAGGTTTCGCCATGTTGGCCAAGCTGGTCTCGAACTCCTCATCTCAAGTGATCCGCCTGCCTTGGTCCCCCAAAGTGCTGGGATTACAGGTGTGAGCCACTGCACCCAGCTGATCCTACATTTTCAAAATAGCTCCTTCTTGTCTTCAAATGATAGCCCTTTTAGTCTTAATACCTTTTGATTTTCTGGTTAATTTTAATCAGGCTTCCCACACCAACTATTTATATTGTCATTAATATCTCCTCATCTTCACCTCCACTTTGAAATTTATATGCTTTGTGAAATGTGTATTCAAATATGTACATAAATAAGGTCTAAGTTTTAGCTGGTCATTTTATTTTTACTATCTCTCCCTCAACTACCCATCCTATCAAGAATATATCATACTTAAGCATAGTATGTATCTTTTCCTGAGTGTATATTACAACTTTTTAGTATTTTAATATACAGTACCTTAAAAATAGTATGTTTATTTATTTTTTGGAGACAGGGTCTGGCTCTGTCACTCAGGCTGGAGTACAGTGGAGCCATCTCGGGTCACTGCAACCTTTACCTTCCAGGCTCAAGTCATCCTCTCCCACCTCAGCCTCTGGAGTAGCTATGACTACAGGCTGCACCATGATGCCCGATTAATTTTTTTTGTACGTTTTCTAGAGACAGGGTTTTACCCTGTTGCCCTGGCTGGTCTTGAACTCGTGACCACCAGTGACCCACCAGCCTTGGCCTCCCAAAGTGCTGAGATTACAGATGTGAGCCACCGCGATGGGCCAAAATAGTATGTTTAAACAGTGTTTTCTTGTTATTCAATGAAACAAGTATGAAAACAAAACAAAACAAAAAAACCTTCTAAGATTCCTAGCAGTTAACAGTAAAATATTTGTAATTTTTTCAAGTATAATAAAAAAAAAGTATGTATTCATAGCAAGGGCACTAATGTGTAACACACACACACAAACCACCACCACTAATAACGAAAAACTCAAAAAAAGGGGTTTTATATAAATTTCTAAGTCAGTTGATAAGCAGCCTTATAAATAAATACATCTAACAAACATTAACAATAACATATGAAAGGTTGGGTGCAGTGGCTGATGCCTGTAAACCCAGCACTTTGGGAGGCCGAAGTGAGCAGATCACTTGAGGTCAGTAGTTCGAGACCAGCCTCGGCAGCATAGCAAAACCTCGTCTCTATTTAAAAAATAAATAAATAAAACTAAAAACTAGCCAGGAGAGGTGGCAGGTGCCTGTAATCCCAGGTACTCGGGAAGCTGAGGCAGAGGAATCATTTGAACCTAGGAGGTAGAGATTGCAGTGAGCTGAGATTGCGCCATTGCACTCCAGCCTCCAGCAACACTCTGTCTCAAACAAACAAACAACAAACAACAACAAAAGTAGCATGTGAAAGAGGTGTTCCCTTCTTCTGAAGTACTAGAAAAATCTCCAAAAAAATTTTTTTAAGTTATAGAAAGCTTCCACATGATACAGAAGGCTGTGGTACTTTTCAGTAGTTACTATTTGAACAAAACTATATAAAAACTGTTGAAGATGAAAAATATGTTGTATTTTGCAAGTAAAAACCATTTAAATTAGATATCCTTTAAATATCAAAAAAAATGTTAAGAGGATCAAAATTTTCAAAGGTTAGAAAAAACTGTGATTTTTTTCAAATGCATCATCCTTTTTTTTTTTTTTTTTATTTTTATTTTATTTTTATTTTTTGGAGACGGAGTCTCGCTCTGTCGCCCAGGCTGGAGTGCAGTGGCGCGATCTCGGCTCACTGCAAGCTCCGCCTCCCGGGTCTACGCCATTCTCCTGCCTCAGCCTCCCAAGTAGCTGGGACTACAGGCGCCCGCCACCTCGCCCGGCTAGTTTTTTTGTATTTTTTAGTAGAGACGGGGTTTCACTGTGTTAGCCAGGATGGTCTCGATCTCCTGACCTCGTGATCCGCCCGTCTCGGCCTCCCAAAGTGCTGGGATTACAGGCTTGAGCCACCGCGCCCGGCCTGCATCATCCTTTAAAATAATTTATTCTATAACCCAGTGTTTTAATTTCATAAATAATGGTGGTTGGTAAAAATTTAGCAAAAAATATGGAGGAAAACATAAAATAATGTGCCTTAAGTGTGAAGAATGCTAAAATCACTCAAAGTTATGAGTAGTTTTTTTCTCAAGTTATACGTATCACCTACCTCATGGGCAACAAATGATATATGATAGTGTGTGTATATGTTGTAGAATTTGTACACACAAAATTATATATCTGGGCTGGGGTGGCTCAAGCCTGTAATTCCAGCACTCTGGGAGGCCGAGACGGGCGGATCACGAGGTCAGGAGATCGAGACCATCCTGGCTAACACAGTGAAACCCCGTCTCTACTAAAAATACAAAAAACTAGCTGGGCGAGGTGGCGGGCACCTGTAGTCCCAGCTACTCGGGAGGCTGAGGCAGGAGAATGGCGTAAACCCGGGAGGCGGAGCTTGCAGCGAGCTGAGATCTGGCCACTGCACTCCAGCCTGGGCGACAGAGCGAGACTCTGTCTCAAAAAAAAAAAAAAAAAAATTATACATCTATATTTAGTTACGGCTAGCTAGCCAGATATGTAATCTAAGTAGAGAAAATAAATAAAGTATTTAAATTAAAATAGTCCATTTCATGGTCTGTGATAGGAGGAAAAATTTTACTTTTTTTTTTAAGACAGAGTCTCACTCTATTGCCCAGGCTGGAGTGCAGCAGTGCAATCTCCGCTCAGTGCAACCTCTGCCTCTCGGATTCAAGCAATTCTCATGCCCCAGACTCCCAAGTAGCTGGGATTACAGGCATGCACCACCATGCCCAGCTAATTTTTGTATTTTTAGTAGAGACAGGGTTTCACCATGTTGGCCAGGCTGATCTCGAACTCCGGACTTCAGGTGATTCACCTGCCTCGCCTTGGCCTCCCAAAGTATTGAGATTACAGGTGTGAGCCACCATGCCCGGCCAAAATTTTACATTTTTGTAAGAGGCTCTTGAGATCATAAACAAAAGGCATCATAGTATAGAACAGGAAGAGTAAGAGATGACAAATACAAGGAAGATAGGATTTAGGTGAAACTAGAACATGAAAAAACAATAGCTTTGTATCTAATAACAATAAGAAAAATAATCTCTAAGGTGTCTTTGAACGACGAGAAGCAGAACAAAAAGTGAAGTCAAATTTTCCAAATTTCTTAGTCCCAATTATATACATTAAAATGGCTCCACAATTATATAAGAAAATATTTATCTTACTAAATATGGATCTTACTAATTATGGATCGGTAATGTCTTTCATTGGGTTTAACTTTTCACATTCTCTGCTTTATTTTTCAGGGAAAACAGTGTTCTCACGATTACCACAGACTGATGATAACCATTGACTCTAAGACAAAGAACGAGGTATTAATTAGTTTTCATTCCTGTTTCTCCTGCTGCTTCTCTGTGAGTTGCTCTAAAAGACACTTATATGAAATAATTTATAAATAGGAATTTTAAAAATGTATTTTATTTGGTAAAAAAGATCAACACTCATGAGGCTTCCAAGAAGAAACCAGATTGCAGGTTCAGTTCTGTACAAAAATTACTGGGTACAAAGACACATAATCCTATTCATAAATAGCAGCCACTGTAACAGTTGTTTCATTTTCTCTTTCTCTCCAAGACTAATTAGCATTATACACAGAACATTCCTTGTTACAAATGTCTTATTTCAGCTTTGTAACTATAGTATCTTTTGATTACCCTAAACTCCCATCTGCTTTTTCAGTAATACAGAAGCCAAACACTCTTTGCAACACTTCTGACCAACTAATTTAAAAAAAAAAAAAAATTTAACAAAATAGAAACAACTATCACAAACTGATGCCACACTTACACTATCCTCACTTTGTGAATCATCATCACTTTAAAGAAAGCCTGCAAACTGTAAAAGAAAAGAGTACTTTTTACCTTTTTTACATACTTACTGCTGAAAGGCTGCCATTGTATTCTCCAAATTTTCTCCAGCACCTGTGAAAATTTGAACTTTACTTATTTTGAACATTTTAATTTTCCTGAAGTTATTTTTAATAAGATACACCTAATGAATCCTGACTTTTTTATCTTTTTTTTTGAGACAGAGTCTCGCTCTGCCACCCAGACTGGATACAGCGGCACCATCTCAGCTCACTGCAAGCTCCGCCTCCCAGGTTCACGCCATTCTCCTGCCTCAGCCTCCCAAACAGCTGGGACTACAGGCGCCCACCACCACGCCAGGCTAATTTTTTTGGTATTTTTAGTGAAGACGGGGTTTCACCGTGTTAGCCAGGATGGTCTCAATCTCCTGACCTCGTGATCCGCCCGTCTTGGCCTCCCAAAGTGTACAAGTGTTTTAAAGAGTGTAATGGTACAGGTTCAGTATTCCTTATCCAAAATGCTTGGGCCCGGAAGTGTTTTGTAGTTCTGACTTCTTTAGATTTTGGAATATTTGCATATATATAAAATGAGAGATTTTGGGGATAGGACCCAAGTCTAAACAAAATTTATTTCGTTTTCATATACTCCTCATACAGATAGATTGAAAGTAATTTTACACAATATTTTAAATAATTTTATGCATGAAACAGAGTTTGTGTACACTGAACCATCAGAAAGCAAAGGAGCCACTCTCTTAGTCATTCATGAGCACAATCTGTGGTTGTTTGGCATCACCATCATTCTTGACTGAATTTATAGGCTACCAATAAGCATTTTCTTACACTTACTCATACATAAATACGTAACAGTAAAAAATATGAAATACCACTAATGCAATGAAAAAATAATATGTTCAGGGTAACTAAGTAACATAGTAGCATCATCAGAATACCTATATCAGTTGTTAAAAACAGCAACAAAAAAGGCAGGTGTTCAGTCTCCACCTGTCTCATTGTTTTGTTTTGTTTTTTTCTGGAGACAGATCATCACTCTGTTGCTCAGGCTGAAGTGCAGTGGCATGATCTGGGCTCACTGCAACCTCCACCTCAAAGGTTCAAGTGATTCTTGTGCCCTAGCATTCTAAGTAGCTGGGATTACAAGTGTGCGCCACCACACCTGGCTAATTTTTATACTTTTAGTAGAGATGGGGTTTTGCCATGATGGCCAGGCTGGTCTTGAACTCCTGGCCTCAAGTGATCCGCCCACCTCGGCCTCCTAAAGTGCTGGGATTATGGGTGTGAGCCACTGCATCCAGTCTCACTGTGTTTTGATTAAAAAATTACCATACACTGTATTTTTTTTCAAGTGAGAAGAAACATCAGAAGCAGCTGAAGGACCAGGAAGTGGGTCCTCTAGGGGTGAGGGGGCATTCTGCTAGATGGCTTTTTAGAATGTTTTCTCCAGAGTCATGTGCCTTACTAACAAGTTTTTGTCTTAAAAGTCTCTTTGATTTTATAAACAAACAGGATTTATTGTCCTGTTATGAATGCACCCTGCTCTAGCCCTTCAATAAGCTCATCATGTATTTTCATCACGTTGTCTATGGGCACTTTTTCTGCCATGTTAACATCATCTTCATTGTTATAATGTCTATTATCATAATAACCTTGATTCAGAACCATTTCGGCTATTTCATCATTGGTCAATTAATGAACAACTAGAACCTCATGATCAATGTTAAAAACTTCTTTGATATCCACTTCTTTCTGTTTACTGACAAATTCTGAAGGCAATTTTTTGTATATGTAAAGAGGTCAGACATCATTTTTTTCTCACTTTGTCAACATATGGAATCCTTAAAAGTCACCAACTTGTTCATTATCATCACTAAACATAGTCAAAGGCCAGAGTTGTGCCAGGCATGCACAAATTTGTCTTTATTCACTGATTTCCAAGCACTGGCAACAGTATACAAGACATTCTTCATGCTAAACTCCTTTTGAAAACTTTCTGGCAGGACATGGTGGCTCATGCCTATAATCCTAGCACTTTGGGAAGCTGAGGTAGAAAGATCGCTTGAGCCCAGGAGTTTGAGACCAGCCCGGGCAACACAGCAAAAATAATTTTAAATAATTTTATGCATGAAACAAAGTTTGTGTTCCCTGAACCATCAGAAAGCAAAGGAGTCACTATGTTAGTCATCCATGGGGACAATTTGCAGTTGTCTTAATTTTAAATAAAAAAACTTAAAAAAGAAAAAATATTTCACACTCACACCTCTGTTCATTACTGCTAGCACAAGCAAATGTTTTTATATTTACTCTCATTGATCCAAGCATAGCCTGCTCACATGGAATTAATAAAGTCATGTTTAGGGGAAAGTACATGGCATAAACATTATATTTGATGAGAAAGACAGCTGGTGGATTAGCAGAACAGTTGTCAAGGAGTAACAAAATCTTGCAGTTGTCATCCAGTCCAACTTCCCAGCAGTGAGCATGAGCCGCTGGTACAAAATGTTTGTGAAACCAATCAGAAAAGATGTCCCTGGTGATCCGTGCATGCCTTTTTGGTAGCATAACGGACTGGTAAGAAATTCACTCCTTGAAGACAGTGAGGAAGGAAGCTTTTGCCTACCACAGCAAGTTTACACTTATGCATTCCTGCTGCATCAGCATATCCTAACACAGTTATTCTGTCATTGGCATCCTTAATTTGCATCTCATCAGCAACAGTCAGTGTCTTTCTGGAGCAATAATCCAAAAGAGTGTTGCTTCATCAGGATTATAGACTTGTTCTTGTGTCAGATTTTCAACAGCAATGACCCTGGCAAACTTGTCAATAAATTTCTTTGCTGCTTCATGACCAGCGGATGCTAATCACCATTAGTCTTTAAAAATGTAATGCCATGTCTTCTCTTAAATTTCTGCAACTGGGCCAGGCATGGTGGCTCACACCTGTAATCCCAGCACTTTGGCAGACTAAGGCAGGCGGATCACCTGAGGTTGGGAGTTCAAGACCAGCCTGACGAACATGGAGAAACCCCGTCTCTACTAAAAATACAAAATTAGCCGGGCATGGTGGCGCATGCCGGTAATCCCAGCTACTCGGGAGGCTAAGGCAGGAGAATTGCTTGAACCCGGGAGGTGGAGGTTGCAGTGAGCCAAGATCGTGCCATTGCACTCCAGCCTGGGCAACAAGAGTGAAATTCCGTCTAAAAAAAAAAAATTCTGCAACTGGCCTGTTCAATATTCACAGTTCCCGTCATTTTAACTTCATCGCTTGAGATCTTCATTTTAGCTTTATGCAGTGTTTTTCTATTTTTAATTAACTTCTGTTCATCACTTCCACTTTATATATACTACTTCTGATATATATAAAACTTCAACAGTTTATCCTTCTTTTTCTTCAGGTCATATATAGTGGTCATTCTAATACCATATTCCTCTGTAAGGTATTTCATACTTACACCACTGTTCAGTTTCTATAACACCTTGACTTTCCGTGCTATAGATAAACATAAATGTTACTTCTTTTTCTTATCACTATGACCCATAGGGGTATCTGTGGGCCTTTTTGATATTTTCAACGTCTTTATACCAAAGAGCAGAGAATAATCAAGCAAGCAAGCAAGCAAACAAACAAACAAAAACACACACTGAACAATGCATATAGGTCTTCGCACCATGTAGGGCATCGTGGGGAATCTGCTGTTGGTGTGACCAGTCAGAACATGTGCCATTTTATTACCCTTTGTGGGCATGCTTGCATAAGGAAATCTGGGCATACTCAGAAAAGATATATTGTAACTGAAGGGAGCTGGAAGGGTCTTTTTTTCCTTGGGGATGCTGAATAAGTTGTGTGTTACTTCATTTTGTTTTGACTGCAACCTGTCACATGAGGTCAGGTGTGGAATTTGTTATATATATATTTTTCTTTTTTAAAACTTTATGGCTGGGTGTGGTGGCTCATGCCTGTAATTGCAGCACTTTGGGAGGCCGAGGTGGGCAGATAACCTGAGGTCAGGAGTTCGAGACCAACCTAGCCAATATGATGAAATCCCCATCTCTACTAAAAATACAAAAATTAGGCCAGGCACAGTGGCTCACGCCTGTAATTCCAGCACTTTGGGAGGCCGAGGCAGGTGGATCACCTGGGGTCAGGAGTTCGAGACCAGTCTGGCCAACATGAGGAAACCTCATCTCTACTAAAAATACAAAAATTAGCCAGGTATGGTGGCTGGTGCCCGTAATTCCAGCTACTCGGGAGGTTGAGGCAGGGAGAATGGCTCGAACCGGGGAGGCAGAGGTTGCAGTGAGCCAAGATTGAGCCATTGCACTCCAGCCTGGGCGACAGAGCGAGACTCTGTGTCAAAAAAAAAAAAAAAAAAAAAAATTTAGCCAGGCGTGATGGCGGGCATCTGTAATCTCAGCTACTCAGGAGGCTGAGGCAGGAGAATCACTTGAACCCAGGAGGTAGAGTTTGCAGTGAGCTGAAATTGCACCACTGCACTCCAGCCTGGGCAACAGAGCGAAACTCTGTCTCAAAATAGTAATAATAATAATAATAATGGTGAAAAATATTTTTTTTTCCTCAAATTATTTTTTACCAGGAATTTTCTACTTGTGGAGTTATGTCTGTGCTCAAAAAGTTTCAGATTTTGGAGCATTTCAGGTTTTCAGATTAGGGAAGCTTAATCTGTATTTTGAATTTTTTTTTACCTGCAACAGTAGAAATCAGAAATCAAAACACAGCCACAGCAACACAGGAGGGTTCGAACAGAACCTAAACTGATTTTTTTTTTTTCCCTGAGACAGGGTCTCACACTGTCTCCCAGGCTGGAGTTCAGTGGCATGGTCAGAGCTCACTGTAGCCTCAAACTCCTAGCTCAAGCAATCCTCCGGTCTCAGCCTCCCAAGTAGCTAGGACTACAGGCACATGCCACCACGGTCAGCTAATTTTCTTTTTAGAGGCAGGGTCTTACTATGTTGCCCAGGCTGGTCTCAAACTCCTGGACTCAAGCAATCCTCCTGCCTCAGTTTCGCAGTGCTGGGATTATAGGCATGAGCCACTGTGCCTGGCTAGCCTAACCATGATTTTTAAGCTATAATATG